ATAAACATAATAAAATATTGAGTGAGTGACTTAACCTACTTTATGAATGGTTGAACCGCGCTTGTATTGAATAAGATGTACCGATGAGCTTGTACCCAAGAAGTATTATCAAGATAAAAGCTTGTGTTTTCACCAATAGCATGACCCAAATTATCCTTAATCTTGTTCTTGTGATCCTTCCATATGCTGTTGCAGTTTTTCATGCAGATTGGCTTGTACTCCTCTGGACATATATTCAAATTGTCCTATAAAACACAATTTCAAAGTGTAAATAATAATAACACAATTTTGGAATTCGAATTTGTGGTCAAAAATATACTTTTACCTTCACATCCTTCCAGATAGCATCAACAATATCATCAGGCACATTGTTCCAGTCAAGAAAAGTAAGAGGAACAATGTTACCATTCCGCACAATGATGCCAAGTTGAGTAGTTAACTTAGCGACGTTATCCCCTATTGGGCAGTAATTTTCATCAAATTGTATGTCCAGCTTTTTACCAGTACCCCACTCTTTAATGCCCATGGCACATCCTCTACCACGCCTAGTCGAGGTTGATAAAGAACTAACATGACCTGCGAGATACAAACACAATAAACAATATGCAACGGTAATAAACAAATGCAAATTTAAATAATGTGAATACAAATTGAATTCTTATACCTAATGTAGGCTGTGAAGAAGTCGAAGGGTCTGCAAAATACAATGAGAATAAACAAGTGTTATATAATGAGCATAAATAAATGTATGTTTAAATAATTTTCATACTAATCAAAGCAAATTCATATACCTGCGGATGGCTCATAAGCCGATGACTCTAGTCGGGATGCTAGCTGCTGTGGTGCCACTGATGGTGGACGCACCGATGGTAGGCGTGGAGGCTGAGTACATGGTAGCTGCTGTGGTGCCACTGATGGTGGTCGATGCGGTGGTACTAATGGCCCCTCAGATGGTGGTGGCACTAATGGCCCCTCCGATGGTGGCCGATGTGATGCGTCCTCTGATGGTGGTGCTACTGATGTCCTGTTATGTAGCACATCAGACATCATGCGCCGGGGATGATCAGGCTTCCTCTTCCTTCCCATAATAATCTGCAAGCAATATAACATTAATTGACATTAGAAACATAGACAATGGGTTGTCATCAACTATAATATGACATTAATTGAACTAATACAATTACAAAGACAAAGTAAATTAAGAAATTGATGATTAACTACAACCTTGGCCTTAATTGAATTACTAATGTTGCTTAAATATCAACCTATTTGAACATCAACTGTTTCCCCTTCTGTGGCTTCCCTCACCCAACCAACTTCTTCATTATATTTTCTTCCAATTGTTGGCTCATGTATGGCTCGATTTGTGGATCAGTCGAACTCATATCAAATAAACCTCTTTGAGACATCTTCACCACGACTTGCCAGTCTGGTTGTAACGGGTCTGCAACATACCAAACTTGCTCTGCTTGGGACTCCAAGATGAAAGGTTCATTGGTAATTCGATCATCTCGGTACAACAAATGATTGAAGTTCACCAACGTGAAATTGAAGACATCTTCTTTCTTTCTGTGAATGTTGTCAATCCAATCACACTTAAACAACACATGTTTCTTCTCATTGGAATATCGAAGCTCAACAATATCTGTCAATTGTCCATAATAGTACACAGCTTTGAGCCACACAAAATCGTCGAGCTACACCACAATTTTGTGTGGCTCGACGATCATCCATGGCCTTTACTCGATACCGAAACCCATTCAGTATATACCCGTTCAACCTCCTTGCCAGGTTATGAGGACCATTTGCCAATAGAATAATCTCTTCAGAAAATATGACATCAGTAGTCCTTCGCAAAGTTTGGACCTATTTAACACGAAAATGTAAAATTTAAAATGTAGATCGACTTAAGTAACTAGAATCTATAGAGTTAAATACATACATGTTCCTTGAACCAAATGTGAAAAGTTTCAAAATGTTCACGCCGAAGTTGATGATCGTCGACACGAGGCATTTTGAGCTTAAGTACTTCAAGGTGTTCGCTGTGTAGATTGAAATTTTAGCAATACAAAATTTTTGTTGAAAATTCAATAAAACATAATAAAATATTGAGTGAGTGACTTAACCTACTTTATGAATGGTTGAACCGCGCTTGTATTGCATAAGATGTACTGATGAGCTTGTACCCAAGAAGTATTATCAAGATAAAAGCTTGTGTTTTCACCAGTAGCATGACCCAAATTATCAGCACCACTATAGTTTCTCACGGGTCGACTAGATTTGGTTTCCACATCACTGAGATATTGTGCACAAAAATTCATGCATTCTTCCATAAGATATCCTTTAGCAATTGATCCTTCAGGACGAGCTCTATTACGCACGTATTGCTTCAAAGTAAGAAGATACCTCTCAATTGGATACATCCATCGAAACTGAATCGCTCCACCCAATAACGCTTCATCAGCTAGATGTATAGGCAAGTGCTCCATTATATCAAAAAAACTCGGAGGAAATATTTTCTCTAGATGACAAAGTGTTACAGCGATACGATCTTTAATATATTGCAAATCCGTCGCACGATTCACTTTCGAACACAATTGTCTACAGAAATTGCTCAATTCAATCAAGGGTTCAATTACATTCTTCAGTAACGATCTTTGAATAGCCAATGGAATAAGTTGTTGCATCAGAATATGACTATCGTGGCTCTTAAGACCCCCAATACTTCTATCATGTGAGCGCACACGACGTGATATATTGGATAAATACCTGTCAGGAACTCTTACTTCCTTCAACACTTTCAAGAACAAATCTTTTTCATCCTTGGTCATCGTGAATTGTGCTGGTGGTAAATAGGCTTTATTCGACCCTCTTAACTGCAAATGTAGGGGTTTTCTAATATTCATATCTTGTAAATCACGCCGAGCATTAACACCATCCTTCGATTTTCCTGCAACCCCTAATATTGTCCACAACACATTGTCACAAACATTCTTCTCTATATGCATCACATCGAGGTTGTGACTTATTAGATTGTGCTCCCAATATGGCAATTCATAAAAGATACTCTTTTTCTTCCAACTATGAGTGCGATGTCTAACTTTCTCCTTCTCTACCTGTCTCCTATGCCTCTCCTTAAGGTCATCCCTCTTGATTCAACAATTTTAATTAAAGTTTTGAATTGAAAGGACACCTGGGGATGGCTTTATTTGTTTTTGTTGTTGAGCAGGTATTCCATCCATGGTTATTGTTTCAAAAACTGCTAGTGACATGGAGGACCTGCGTGATAGTTTAAATGATCTCTCTAAATCAAAAGGGACTTTGTTATCCAAATTAATGCCAGGTATTATTATTTTTTAGATAAGCAATAAATTTTATAGAGAAAAGAAACATGATGGTACATAGAAACATGTCAGGTTTTATATTATTTTCCTTGATTTTTTTCTATGTATAGACATTTGTATAAGACAAGGGCAGGTGTAATATTTTCAGTAAATGTAGTTTACCCTACCCAAAAATAAATAATAAAAAACAAAAAAGGAATTTTGACTAGTGTGGTGTGTTTGATCCTGGCAAGATAAGTATGCAGGTAATTGTGCTGAATGGGAATGTCTTTACTTTATTGATAAAAAAAAAATGGCCCAACTTTTCCTTTCATCTTATTAATTATTCTGCAATGGTATTTTGTTACAGGATACAGAAGGATCATCAGAGGTTCGCTACTCTTACTCTTTAATTATGTGCTATTCATAGTTTTGGAATACAGTTAAATCTAAAATTTTGGGTGCTTCCTGTGACAACAATTCACAGATTCTTGCTACATGTTAAATAAAAAGTGAAAGTGTTGTGGATAATTGAACAAAACACATGATATCATACTACATAATAAAAATGGCTATGATCCTAATATGAACCATTGTTGACTTTACTTTCTGTTGTTTGTCATCAGTCCTCACTAGAAATTAAAGAAAAATTCACGAGACAATTGATGGTTTGCCTAGCTTATCATTGTATATATATCAAGTAGTTATTATTATTTAATGCTTCTCTGTTGTCTTCTTTTTGTCTCATGAAGCTTGTGCTTGGATTAAACCAATTGATGTTGCAAAGAAAAAGCATGTGTTTGCAAGAGAGCTAGCAAAAAGGCTGATAGAAAAAGAAAATGATTGGATTGATTACATAAATTGTGGAAATTTACATGTTTCTATAGTGCACTGCTTTGGAGATACCACTTCATCACAAAAGCAAAAGAAGAATAGACTCTTATCCTAGCGACAAAGCACGGCATCAATGACATGGCAGAGGAAATCCTTGAAAAATTCCCTAATGTTGCGTCATTTGATGAGAATGGAAGAAATATACTACACATAGTGGCACAGCTGAAAGATAGAATTATCTATGACCACTTGAAGAAGACTGTCAATCACGCAGATAGGATGATGACTGATGTTGATAATCATGGAAACACTATTTTGCATCTTGCAGCCTACAAGTATGAAAAAGATCTTTTTCCTCAAAATCTTTTTGGACCTGTAAACCGAATGACATGGGATGTTTTGGTTTAAGGTACTCTCCCTGAGCTATATATATTAACTTGTAATACTACTAGTAGAGAGCTAAGGATCTTCTACCGTAATTTTTCTACAATGATTTTGTGCTTTTAATTATAGCAAAATACATTAAAACAGCTTGAGGGATAATCATTAGTTCAATGGTTAAGACTTGGTTTAATAACTTTAAGGTTATGGGTTCAAGTCTTGGGTGTCACCACTTTGTGCATTATGCCAAATGTTAGGTGTGTACTCAATCTTTCCCTTTCCAAACACACATTAATGTGTACTAATTAGGCCTTTTTTTTTTCAACATTATAACAGCTTGAGTTTAAATTAAAGTAAAATGTCATTGTATCACATTTTTTTAAACCACACCCTAAAATGATGCAATTTACTTCAATTTTAAACATAAACCGTTAGATCAACACAACAAGATTATTGTAGAGAGATTTATGACACAGGATCCTAATCCAGTAGTAGATATGCATTGGATAATAATAATAATAGTAGTAGTTATGGTGGTGTGGTAACATAAAGGGTTAATTACACTGTGAATATCACTTTACTTCTCATCTATGAGCTTGTATATTTTGATCCTCTCAAATATAAAAGTGCATCTCACTTTTACCCCCTCCAAAAGGGGAGACATTTGTATGATTTGTCATAAATGAGGAATAAAAATATATATGGTTTCATCGATAAGAGATCAAAATAATATTCATTAAAAGTTGAGAACATTTTGCTATAATTAACCTTGACATAAGTTACAATCTAAAGCATTAAGGTTAGAAACTCTTCAATTCCTCTTTAATATTGTATTCTTGCTTGATTTCTTTGAATTTTCAGAGTCTATACAGAATGACTCTTATCCACATTTGATATATCATCGAAACATTGATGGTAAGACAACAAATCAAGTATTCGAGGAAGAGCACGGGGATGCCATGAAGGAAGCTAAGAAAGCAATCAAAGATATTAATAGTTGCTTGATGCTTGTTTTCACTATAACTGGCACCGTCAATTACGCTGCACTTTTTACTATCCCTGGTGGTTTCGATCAATAATATGACCTACCGATTTTTTTCACAAAAGCAATAAATGGACAACGAGATTTGTAGTTGTTCATGTCTTACGTTGGAGGAAGTCTGGTTGTTTCTTTATTGGGTTTGGGATCTCAACTTTTAATACAAATGTCATGGTTTCACACTTGTTGCCATTGAATGTTTTCACTATAATTGGCACCGTCAATTATGATGCACTTCTTACTATCCCCGGTGGTTTCAATCAATAATATGACCTAACAATTTTTTTACGAAAGCAAAAAATGGACAACGTGATTTGTAATTGTTCATGTCACATTGCAGGAAGTTTGTTTGCTTCTTTATTGGGTTTGGGATCTCAACTTTTAATACAAATGTCGCGGTTTCACGCTTTGTTGCCATTCTCACTATAATTGGCATCGTCAATTACGATGCACTTTTTACTATCCCTGGTGGTTTCACTCAACAATATGGCCTACCAATTGTTTTTACAAAAGCAAAAAATGGACAACAAGATTTGTAGTTGTTCATGTCACATTGGAGGAAGTTTGTTTGCTTCGTTATTGCATTTGGGATCTCAACTTTAATACAATTGTCATGGTTTCACACTTTGTTGCCCTTGAAATTTCTTATTGCAACCACGTCCTTGTACTATGCCACTGGCTTCCCAGGCGACATGTTTTCAAACTTTTATTATTGAGGATGCATTCATAAATTCATATTTTGGGGTGATGTGGCTTGCATGTATTCTTATGACCCTTGTTTACACAGATGCGTTATACTTGACTAACGATTACTTCTTTTTTTTTTTTTTGATCAGCAAAAAGGAAAACTTTATTGACGAAAAAATAGAGAATTACATCAATAAATAGGAGGCAACAGCAAGGAGCATCAAAACGAACTCTCCAAATCCCAACTAGGTTAGCACTAAGGAAGACACCCAATTATTTGCTAGCTCAAGCCAAAGTTGGTGAGAGACCAACAAAGCAAAACAAAAAGGAAAAAAGCAAACAAGGTAGCCTACCAAGGAAACAGCAACAGTAGGTACAGAGTAAGGCAGCAAAACAACTTGAGACAACATAAGGTAGCAAAACAACATAACTACAAACAGCATAGCTCCATCATGAGACAACAAACAGCAGCAGAACAAGATTAGCAGAACAAGATTAGATCCATTAAATGCAGCAGCTGGTCTGGTTTAAATTGACCACAAAATCAGCGGCAGCAGCTCAGCACACAGTGCAGTTCATCAGCAAAACAACAGCAGAACACTTAGTAAAACACTCAATAACAGAAGAAGATTAAATCCATCAAATGCAACTCCTGATTTGGTTTAAATTGAACACAAAATCATGGATGGAGTATGAGTTCCCAAAAGAGTGGCTCTTCAACCAAATTACAACTCTAGTTTTGATAAGCTCACAAAGCTCCATGAAGTTAAGATGAGCACTATTAAACACAGCAGAGCAGAGCAGCAGCAAAACAAGATTAGATCCATTAAATGCAGCACCTGGTCTAGTTTAAACTGACCACAATTCGTTATTCACTTGCTTATAGAAGCCAAAAAAAAATGTAGAGTTTGCACTTGTTCGGTACTTGTTTTAAGCCATGCTTGAATTTGTGTGTGACAACATTTTAAGTTGTTCAATCTCCAACTTTTCAGTCTTTCAAGTTTTAAGTGCCTTTGCCATGTTTGACAAATGATGAACTAGATGATTTCGTGTTGATCATTGAAGATATAATTACAATTGCTTACATATGCTTCATATTAATTACAATATTATATCATCACCCTTCTTTTTGAGTTGAAGAAGGCATTCATATGCTTCATATTTCTCTCAATTTATATCTGCCAGTTTCTTCTCCAGAGAACTAATATCACTTTTTATAACCTTTAATTCTCGCTTATGACGTGGAATGTTTGCGGTGTGTTTCTGATTTTCCTTCCATAGTCTTTTCAATTCATTTTGTATAAGCTACAATAAGAGCCAAAAAAAAAAAAAGAATTACATGTGAGGAGTTTTTCACAAGAGTAATACTACAAATTCACTCTTATAAATTAATTTTCACCACACAATCACTCACCCAAAAAATTCTGAATGGACAAGTCTGGTTTCAGACTTTCTCTTTTCATAAAACTCATGCCATTTTAAAATAAAATTTCCATATTCAAATAGTTTTGAACATATTAAAAATAAAACATCCCATCACAAAAATATCTTACTGAATATGATCCCGAATATCTTTTCTAGTGCCCAAATAGTATCGAATCTATGGAGCTTGTGAAGCATGATTAACAATATTATTATTATTGAGTTTAATATTATCCATTTTTGCTTCATTCTGCTTTATCTCTCCAAGAAGCTTCTTCTCCTCTGCAAGATTGTTACTGCCGTGTTGCATTCGATAGTTCAAACTCTTTATCTCCAATTCATAATTCCACATTATTTGTTGTCTTTGTAATTATTCCTTTTTAAATTCAAAACAAATTTACTTAAAATTGCCAATGATCTTCCTAATCTTTTTTATTGAATATAAATATTATTTTCATATTTTAAAATAAATCATAATTAATTTAATCATTCAAGTGTTGGTATTTTGATAATTAGGTTAAAAGCCAGCCGTTTAAGTTGTTCCAACCTAATAGTTCAAATTTTATAATTAATTCTTTACCTAACTAGTAATACATAATTTATAGTTCCAAAAACTAAAATTAAACAATATAAAACACACATAAAAATATATTGTATAATATAGATTAAGGGTGAGATTTGCTATGTTTGAAGCACTTTTCTCAAGTCCGATCCAGCTTATAATTGAGCCTAAAAAAATGTCCCAACCTTAGGCACCTAAAAAAATGTCCAGCGCAACCTTAGGCACCTATAAATTATGAGCAAGCTTGAGTGAGCGTAGCTAGTTATCGGGCCCGTGTCCACTTCTTATTTCATTTGAAAAATAATGTATTAGTTTAAACATTAAAATTAGCTTAATTACAAAGAAACTCCACCTCTATTAATGGCTTAACAACTTTAGCTTAACTACTTTAACTTAATTATATATAATAATAAATATTTTAAAAAAACCCCTCAACTCAACATTTTTAGAATGATAAATTACAAATATATCTCTTGAAATTTACTTAAAATACGAATTTGCCCCTATAATTTTAGAAATTATAAATACATCCTTATCAAAAAAAAATTATTTAATAGAATTAACAGAAAAAATAAAATTTTTAACTATTCTCCTACACAACAATAATGTTACCTAAATTATTAAGTCAAATATATTTTTAATATGATTAAAAAAAGGGGTCATTTATTTTTAATTGACTTCATAATTTATTAATAAAAGAGGTAATTTATTATGTAATTGGAAACTTGAAAGGGTGGAATGTAATTTGTAGAACTACAAGGGGATAATTTATATTTTAAGCAAACTTTAAGAGTGTATTTATAATTTATCCCTTTTCAAAATAATGGAATACTTAGCCTTAAATAACTTGCAAAGCAATTGAGTTGTTCCTGTTGAGAGTATGTTCCAATAGCTCTCCCTACTCGGATGGGGTTCTTCGAGTGATGAAGCTCTTCGAGACAATTTTGCAAATTCTTGAATTCGTTCTTCCATGTCCAAAAACTATTGGAATACAGTAGTGCTAGGTGTTTGAACCTTGTAATAACATGGTATCCTACTGGTGAGCTTTTACCAATTATAACTTTCTGAGAGTCTCTCCCTCGGCTAGGGTTAGGGTTCTTTGAAGGCCGAAATTCCTTCAAACATTGCTGCAAAGTCTCCATTTCATTCCTCCTCCATAATAAATAGTCCCTATATGATGATAGATGACGTAATTCTGAATTTGCAACGATCAGATCCAACTGTTTGGTAATTCAAAAAAGATAAAGGGTAGTAAATCATTTTGACAACTAATTAATTATGTTTTAGGTCATCATCTTTAATCAAATTCCAATTTCTTTTGATAATTTGAAGTTAAAACCATATGAGCCAGGAGCCTTACATCCATCACACCTACATACAGCTTGGAAAATCTCATTCTCAAATAAGATAAGGATGAAAGATAACGATAAAGATTATCTTGTAGAGCCTAGAATGAGTTTTTAAAAGTGGTTGTCCAATTAGGATGATCAAATTCATATTATCCCACAACATATTGATTCCATAATCATAACTATATAATTTCATCATATATCGACTAGTATGAAATGAGAAATTATATGATCAATAGGAGAGAAAAAATGATAAAAAGAAACTGTATGCCGCAATGATGAGATCTAAACTCAGACATCATACTAGTTGCTCGATAATAAAGCGCCTCATCCAACGACCAACTCTCAGTCTCTAAACTTGTAGATAAAAGTAAAAATGATAAAAGCTATACAGGGTAGGTGTACCGTCCTTTCATTTAATTTTTTAACAATTTGAGAATGAGCTTCACTTTTTTTCTAAATTAGCTTCTTGGTATCATGAATATCCTTTGTGAAGTTTACTTGTATTAACACTGTGTTTGGGAACCTAGGAGAGAAAAGAAAAGAAATAATTACTTAAGTTATAAGAGAAAAGAAAAGAAATGAAATGATTGTGATTTCTCTCCTTTTTGTTTGGATAAGGAATAAATAAAAGAAAAGAAATGATTATGATTTCTCTCATTCTTGTTTGGTTAGATTTCATTAAGAGAAAAGAAAAGAAATTATTTTATGTTATATTACTAAAATAACCTTTTTATATTTTCAATCATTTTATTTCTTTTATTTTTATAGGGACAAAATTGGTATTATGAAAATAGTAGTTTCTTTTCTCTCCCAATCTCTCCACTTTTGGGAAGATTGAAAATGAGGCTCATAAGAGAAATGAGTTTCTCTCTATTTCTCTCCATTTCTTCCCATTTCTCTCCACTTAGGTTATCCAAACAAGTTAGAGAAATACATATATCTCCATTTCTTTTCTTTTCTCTCCAAATCACTCAATCCAAACATAGCGTAAATGATGATCATCTCTTGAACTTGATA